CTAAACTCCCACAATGCTCTCTGCTGGCTGTCGTCACTCAGACGACGTTCTACCGGAGCTCCACTACGAGGTTCCACCTACACGACATTAAAGAACTGCTACCAGTCGTTGTGTATTTCTGTAGATGTACCAGCTGTTCCTCCACGAGCTCCAAGACTTCAGCGAAATCTGAGTTCCCACACAGCGTCTTTGTAAATGTGCAAATCAAAGCTGCACAAAACAGGTGGACGGGAACTCAACAAGAGGATCCGCGAGATGATTTAAGACACGCGACTCCCAGAGCGTCAGCAGGAACCTTGACTCGACCTCGGAGGAGATCCAGGAGGCGCCTCGGAGTCGAAGCAGCGTCACCACAAAAGACGTCTCATTTACGCTGCGTGGCTCATCAGATGCTAAGCTAGGAGTCAGACGCTGCCCTGCGAGGAGCTAATCCCGTCCCAGATGTCCTCAGCGCACCCTCGGGTTTAACTGGGGCGCCACACATCTCCGTTTCTCTTTCTTTTTTTTTTGTATTTGGTAATTGGAAATGCGTCTGACTTCCTGAAGGGCTTAATCCCGGTTTATGACACACTTTGATTCATTGAGATCGGCTCGTAATGTCTGAGCCAACATCTGCAGAAGATCAACAGAAGAAAGAGTCACTTCTGATGCACTAAACAAAGTTGCGGCATTAAAAATAAAGAGTTGTGTGCGGCTGCGTCTCGGCGCACCGATGACCCAAATCCATCTGATTTCTGCCTCCGACTTCTCCTCAGACGCTTTCTGAGCTTCGCTAATTGGCATCTCGGCAGAGGAGAAATAAAAGGAGAGGAGTCGATTTAAAGGGAGAGAAGGACGACGGCTGAGATGAAAGGTGAGATGAAAGCCGACGGAGGAGAGAAAAGGGAAGTTCAGGGAGGAGGACAAAGAGGAGAAGACGAGTTAAAAAAAATCTGCCCTCTGATGAAAAGTGCGGCAAAGATTTTGGCTCTAATTACAGCAGAAATGAAAACGGCTGAATGTTTGGTTTGATGGAGGATCGTCAGAACAAACAGGAGGCTCCTCGTCGGCTCCAGCAGCTCGACGCTGAGTCGGCGATTCGCTTACAGACGGGAAATATCCGCCACGTATCCGTAATTCAACTCCTCCAGGTAGAAACGAACGTCTCGGATCTCCAGAGTCGAGGATAAATCTGACATCTGACCACCTCTGACTGGAAACGTTTATACGGATGCATTAAATCAATATATTCAGACATTTTAAAGAATATTTTCTGATATTTTATCAGAGTTTTTGGACATTTTCATGATATTTTTTTTATAAACATTTTATAATCATTTGTACATTTTATTAATATGTCAAGACATTTTATTTTAGTTTTGGACATTTAATCAATATTTTTAGACATTTTACAGATTTTTTTTAGAGTTTATTAATATTTAAATATTTGCAAAATATTTAAATATTATTCTTGGACATTTCAT